TTTTTTTTTAAATTATTTTTTAATTAAAAAAAATTTCATGTACTAGAATTTTGCTTTTCTGACTTATGCAAGAAGGTATTACATAATACAACAGCCCTAGCTAGGCAGCTACAGGAACTCTCCTTCTTTTTTCCCCCCACAAAACCCACTGGGGAATTCCCTCTGCTCCTTGTCCTGAACCCTCCCCCTTGTCCCCCTCCTCCTCTTCAGCACTGCAACCACTGCACAACCCGAGAGACAGCCCAGTCACCACAGGCCTTTACAGTAGGGGACAGGAGTTGCTGTGATGGGAAGGGAAAAGAAATAGTAAAGTAATGAAGGAAAATATTCTTGCCACTTCTTCTTTCTTACCCAATGGCTTACTTACCACCTACATATTATCCCTCTCTAAAATATTCTTCTCACTACCATATGCAAGGGAAGGAAAAATTGGGGTGGGGGAGAAGGTTAGAAAGTAAAACATCATCTACCTTCTATTTAATAGTTTCCATCTCTTCTATACTTAGCCCCCATTCTTTTTCTAACCCTCCTAGATGATGTCTGGAACACACTCTATACATTCAAGTTCTCAATTATCATCTGGCTCCCTGGCTCTAAGGGAGCCACCTAAGACTTCATCTCATCTTGTGAATTAAAAAAAAAAAAAACGCAAAAAAGCAGGGGCCTCAAACTCAAAAGCCTTGGAAATACCATAAATGAGTAAGCAGAATACTTACTGGGTGTAGCATAAGGGATCCACAAGTTGGAAAGAACATGCCCTACCTAAGAGGGCCTCTCAGTTAAATCTTTTTCAAGAAAAGCTGGAAATCCAGATTTTTTATGCATTATCTCTTCATTTTTAGTCAACTAGTTAAAAAAACTTTTATACAAACTGCCTCAGCTGGATGAGCTGAATATGGGCCAAAAAAAAAAAAAACAACCCAAAAAACAAACCCAAAATAAAAAACACACATTTGTGACCTTTAATTTAGACTCCCTAGAGACTGAAAAGAAGTCACAGCTTTCCTTATCACTGATGTGTGCTGTCTTCCTCCTGAACCCCCAACTCTCAACCCAGGCCAAGATGACTACCACAGTAGAAGATCTCCTCTCCTGTTGAGAGGCAGGAAGAGAGGAAATTCCTTTTTTACTGTCAACTTTACCTGACTTTACTTAGGTTAGGTAAAGTTGTGCTTCTGACATCCCAAAAGATGGAGCTATGAGTGCCCCTTCTCACAGAAACAATGTTGTATACAATGGCTAGGTTTGATACTTCTATTCTTTATATGTATGGTATAAGTTAAAAAGGTTTTTGTTGTGCTAGTTTGGAAAAGTTACTTAAATATAACAATGTCGCATTTAAAATTCCAAGATAAATTCATGTACAAATAAACCTTTGATACACTATCATTGGTAAATAAAGGCTTTCTAAATTCTAATAACATTGCTGTTGAATTTTAAGACTTTCTCAGTAGCCTTAAGGTACTGAATAGCAAAAACACATTTAAAAGAAAATTACACAGGCACATTAAAGAACATAATCGAAGTTAAGTTTAATAGATCAGTCTACCTAACTGGAATACATTTTGCCTCGTGACACAAAAAGATCCTACACTGATAGCAGCCTAACACTAACCCTCTCTCTCTCCCTCACCTTCCCATATGATGCCATGAAACAAGACTGTAAAGAGAGATTCCCCAAAAGTGAAATGTATTTTTAAAAGCAATGTGGAACAAAGGCACATTTGTGGCACAAAAAGTTAAGATTTGCTTCTACGTAGGTTAATATACACAACGTATTCAGATTCCTTTTAGAATAGGAATTGATCAGACTCTTGGAAATTGAGAAAAAAAATTTTTTTAAAGGCAAGGCAGGCAGGCAGAAGCATCACTCTCAAACTAAATCAAGAAGGCTGAAACTCTCTAAGCTTTGTAATCTTAACAAAATGTAGAAAATTCATCATGTCTAATAAAATTTTAGTTCAGTATAATGATAATAAGACAAAATTATACCAAACCCAAAAACAAAACCAAGAGAATACAAGATTGACAACAGCCAAGAAATGTCAAAATTCACTCAATAAATAAAGTGCTAAAGTATCCAGCTAATTTCCTTCTGCAACAGATTTTGTGTTAATCTATTAGAATAAATGCATACAGAACACAAAGAATTATATGCAATCAACAGTTAGAGGTCTCAACACCAAAAGGTGTTTTGCTTGTTTGAAGTCTCCTATTAATCACAGTTGATCCCTAAGCTCCTAAAATCAATAGTACTCCTTTTTAGAAACAATAGATAAAAATGTGGTTTATACAAGCAAAATCCATCAACTGGAACATAACCAGAAGTTCATAGATTTTAAAGTCTGACTAATGACTTTTGGAAAAATTATTCTTTAAAAATGACTTTGTTTATGTATCTTGTTTTTCACTCTCTGTTCCTTCAAAAGTTGAGGACTGAATATTTGTGTCATGGTAGTTCATCAGCATTGAAATGTTTACTCCTTTTTTGGATTATAATCTTTTCTTTGTAAGCAACAGAAGAACAGAATAAGCAGAAGAAAATGTAAAATAGTACAATAGGTACAAACACATCTGTGTTGAATTAGCTTTCGTAAACTTAAACCCAATTAGTATGAAATAATATAAAAGACAGAACATGTTAAAGTTTTCTAGGTATAGCATCAAGTCATGATGGGGGTAGTGGGGATAAGTGGTTGATTTTTGTATTTTATAAAGGTATAAAAGTACAGATAAGATGGTTTCTATTGAAGATATCATTTGTTATATAATATTCTTAGAAAAAGGAAAGAGCAAAATGTTAATATAATGGTATCTTTAAAGAATATCATGAGTGATAATTTTTTCTCATCTTCTTTTTGTTATTCCCAAGTTTTCTATAATAGGAGTACATTACTTTCAAAAAAAAAAAGTGTACTTTAAAACAGTCTTTAAGGTTAGATAATATAAAGTCAGTGTATTGTAAGAAAAGCAAGAACTAAAATCTATAAAGTTTTTTTAAATTGA